TGTATGTATGTATGTATGTATGTATGTATGTATGTATGTATGTATGTATGTATGTATGTATGTATGTATGTATGTATGTATGTAATGTATGTAATGTATGTATGTATGTATGTATGTATGTATGTATGTATGTATGTATATTCTTTTCTCCGCAGGGACCGACATCCATTTCACTAGTATAACTGGTTCACGGGGATGCCCATTGGATGGTACAAGGTCACTGTGCCTGTTCTACACCACTAGGTTCGGTGGCTGATGTGGGCTAGCTGTTCAGCACTTGCAAACAAAGCATCCAGGAAACATTTGAGGACGCTTGACCGTCTTCGAGCGCCAAGCAAGCCGTGGAATGATGATACTTATATCCGCACGCTAAGCTGAGCCTTTACCTTTGGCACTTCGATTCATGGTGTACCGCAGTCTTTGCTACGCAGACTAGTTGTTGTTTCAAAACAAGAACGCTGTCTTTACACATATACATACACAATATTTCACCGTATGATATTTTATGTATGTTGGTATGTCGTCCTTTGGTTCACCATCTTCACGCGCCAGGTGCAAACGAAAGGCAAGAGGATCTCCCTGGACTTCAAACTCATGACGTCAATGGTGTCAAACTTGGCTCGTCAATGATGTCACGTTGGGAAAATATATAGTAAGCTCAGACTCAAGGAAGGACTCAACCGGAGCTCCAGTGCACTGCTTGCGGCTTTGGCAAAACTGGTTTTGGGTGTGCAACATGGCTGCCCTACCAAAGGCAGAGTTTTTCAAGAATTTCACAGTTGTTTGTGCTGCGCTGTACTCACGGGAGGGTGTTGGGGCTCGAGAGCCACTTACGGGAGCCCTTGCGGAGGTGGTTCTTGAGCATGACCAGCCAAATGATTTCGGGCCGGACATTGGACATCATTAATTCAGTTTTATAGTATTATATATTATATATATATCATTCCTTTTGCACTTGTCAACATGCAATGATCCGGGTGCTGCCTAAAAGTACTTGTGCAGGGTAAGGAGTCACTTTGTGAACAACATCATGGTCCATGGTGATGCGCTGTCAATGGGGAAAGGTGCACAGTCAAGCAGTGCCATATGAACCCCCTTGGTAGCCTCCAAGCCCACCGCTGGCTGCGCATAACCAACAGATTCCCAGAGCAACCATCATTCATTGGCATTCATGCAAGATGTGTGCCGCCGAGGTCGTGGGTTCAAGAACTGTGCGGCAGATTCGCAGACAGTGATGCCCACAGTGAGCACTTTTGCTTCGATTCTCAAGGCCACTGGTGTTTCTGGATGGTTTCACGGGAGTTTATCATACAGCTCACACCATGTCTTATTCCATCCTGGCCAAATAGTCAGCTGGCGAAGCTTCGCAGTCAAACGATTCTAAGCAGCGCCGACCGAGTAGACAGGACTACGAGGGCCATCAATTATTGGCTCACAATGTGAAACTTGACCATGAAAGGTCTGCCTGAACAGTTCCCAGATTGCGTCACGAGTTTGAAGAATCTATTTCCATCTATTTCCTTAAACCTGATTTAATCCAAGCTCTGATTGTGTCCTATATGACCACGTTCTTGCAAGAACGCAGGATACCCCATGAAAAATAGTGCAGCCGTCTTGCATCGCGAGCTGGGTTCAAGTCCAGAGGTCACTGGCCACATGGAGTCGCCAAATGGGCAGTAGGCAATAATGGCCAGAAGAAATCACACTGATTGATTTGGTACATGCACGGCCTGGTTTTTGTTTGTCATGTGTTGCTCGGAAAGCCTAGCGAGAGAAGTGTACAACCCTCCATTAACCACGCCCTGAAGCAGTTCCTTTTCAGCTACTATTATGTTCATTTGTCGGATTGTGGTGGGGCTGGGCCGAGCATGCAGATATCATGTGCCTCTCACTGCCTCTCACTCATGACTTTCTTTATGTAGACCTTCGAACAGAAAGCAGACCAGACTCCATTGGCTCCGGCTAAGTCCGCCTTGTGATCTTGAGGTTCTTAGCCCTCCTGTGGGCAGTACAGTTCCTCACACCCAACCCGTGCCCACACCCAATCGACGGCCATCATTTGAACTCATCCTGTGAAACGGGAGACGAGAGACTTTTGTTCCCGAAAAAGGCTTTGCCACATAGTAGTTCACGGCCATCATGAGCGCGGATGTCATGGGTTTTTCCCGGCCAAAGGCCAGACTGCATGTGCAAAACTAAGCACATGGCTGGCTTGAAGAAAGCGTGCCAAGCTCCGGAATTGCATTGGACGGGATGCAGAGGAGATACAGAGATACAGATACAGTAAGGTTTGTCATGTTCTTCCTGCCCCCAGAACTTCAGAGAACAGCTTGGTTGCTATCAAGTAGGCTATCAAGCTTTGGAAGACAGGAGTGATGCAACCAAGTTTGGTCCGGATGAGTAGCTGCCCTCAGTTTTGTCCATGGTCAGTCAGGGTGCTTTGCTCCGTGACAGGTAAGTCATGGGCATGTGCGGATGTATGTCGTCTCTATGACTTGATGCGTGCGTTCATGTTGCGCGACTCCTTCTCTCAGAATAATTGAAGGCTGCACATAGAGATGTACAAAGACACAGACAGGTCAGGACTCCGTTCCCCTGAATGAATAGAAGGGAATCGGAATGGACAGTAACCCCTAGGAGTCGAAATCACCAAGGCATGCGGGTTCACCATGGTTCACCTCAGGGCTCACGTGAGATCTGGGTAGAACATGGTAGATCTCACCGGAAATGGTTTTGTGCGTTTGCTGACTTTGCTTTGGAGAAGGCCCACAAAGATCCAACGTGTAGATGAATCACAAAGGGCCACAGAGCCACAGCCGCATTTTGCCCGTTTCTCCTCAATGCCATCGAGCCAAGCGACCAAAGAGTCGCGCATGGAACGCTCGAGACGCCCGGCGAATGCGGCAAGAGGCAGACCCGTGGGCATGGTCAAGGCAGATGAGCAAGAGGCTATGGTCCGGTAGTACCAGGGTAGTACCCTATGACCGGGATGATGCCGGTAGCAGCCGGGGTAGCATTCTGTTTTTTGACGTTAACATGGAGAATGGCCAGGGGCCCTTCGTAGTGGGAAAGTTATTTAGCAGGCGCATTCGTCCATATTTGTGTTCATGACCAGAAGTGTATGTACGTGATGTAACGTGTGTGTGTGTGTCTTTGTGTGTGTGTGTGCGCCTTTACTGTTTAAGTGGATTTGGCGAAGGACGGTGCTTGAAAGAGTAGGCCATTGCTTTTAGGTTGGAGGCCATCGCTATTAGGTTGGAGGCCATTGCTCCTAGGTTGGAGGCCATCACCATTAGCGGAGGACGGTGTTTGAAATTCAGTTTGAAAGGCACGGCATGTTTGAAAGGCATTATAGAGCCCCTAGTAGCGTCCTTGCTCCTAGTAGCGATGCCAGGAGCCCCTAGTATACCTCCTTGTTACCCCAATTAGGTCGAAGTTGTTGTGGCATGTTGCACCGAAATTGCCCTCCTCAGGTGCGCGGCCGGCAGGGCGGCCACTGCCCTGGAACAAGGAGCCACTATGACAACCGTATTTAAACAAATTTAAATAGTCAACAAGAGAAATTACCATTGCATTTTGTGCATAGAAGTAAGAATGTATGTTTGATGAAAGGAAGGTAAGCATGCGGATAGATCGGTATGGACGTCATGTCCGTTGTGACTAGTCGGACCTTCATAGAAAACGGATGATGCAAAGCAGGTCTTTAGAGGCTGGTACGATCACTTGTAGCTTTACAGTATGTGGAACAACCTTGGACCTTAATTAATATTCCGCTCATCATTGCTGCTGGCTTTGAGCTATTGGGCAGAATACAACCAAACTATCAAGCTGAGAGTGCGCGTGTGCTCAAGAACATTTGGATTGCATCGATCAACATATTATATAGCTTTCGTATGCTTTCGTTGCATTTGATGACATCAAGGCGCTTGCTTTCAAATCGAAACTAATTCTGCAACACTGGTCCCCCGCTGCACCTCGTCATGAATGTGGTGGATATCGGCTGCCTTGCGAATGACAACCAGTCGTTTGTGATTGTTAGATGTCATGGCCGAAGTCTTCTCTTTGATCGTGGAGGTTAACGATGCCAATGATGCTTGTTTGGAAGGCTGGGGAGGTCTCTTTGGTGAAATAACATGGAAAATAGCTTTGGTTTGAGCTAGGAGTGCCAGCACTTGGACAGTGGCAGGGTTTCAGCACCCAGAAGAATTACTGTAGACTGTAGACAAAGATATACTATGACGTGATCATGGAAGTTTGTGACCCTGATGATGGAGAGGATCTAAGTATGGCGTGATTACGGTTGAGAACAAGCTTACTGAGCAGATGTTCAAGAGCAGCACGGTGGAATGGGAGTGAATATCAATGAAGTGGTGTTGTTGTGCCGTTGTGCTGTGTGGATTGGTTGGAGGCTTTCGCGGGCTGAAGCACCGCAAGCCGTTATTTGAGGAGCTGCTTGTAGAGGGCTTCGAGGCGGGAAGGGCCACGCAAAAGGTAACACATACTTGTTGCAGGTGTGCCGGCACCGACATACTTATCATACTTGCAACACCTTACTGATTGGTGCGCACCAATAGTAGTTTCTCACATTGGACTAGTCTTCTCTGTTGTTTTTTGTAAGCTTCAAGGGTTAGGCACTGCCATGCTTGACTGGAGGCCATTTTGATGCTCTTGAGCAGCAGCTTCACTTGCGGCAAAATCCTAGTGCAAAGCCACATGTTGCTTCAACGCATGTCCGGCTGTGATGTCTTGCAGTTTCCAGAGATTTTGAGACTACACTTGCGCGCGTGGAGGCACAAAGACACACTTAGATATATACTGTAGCTCAACTGAATGAGCATAAAGTTCTGAAGCTGGATCACGGATGCGTTAGCACTTGACCATACTGTAGTTAGACCTTGACTTGCAAAGCAGCATGGCGAGAGGTCAGCAAACAAGAATCGTTTGAACATCGGTGCACTAACTCTTTAGGAAAGAGTGGGGTGAACAGCTTGATCAAAAGTTGGTCCCTGGCACCCCTGCTACATGAAAAAGCTGGAACTCTTGGAGACAGAGTGTGCCACACACACACATTCTTATGTCGATTGTTTTTCTAGAAAAGCCACGTTTTCACACATCTTCTGAATATTCTATTTCTTTTTCTGGGCAGGTGCCAGTACAATCTGCATCACATTATATGAATGTGCAAGATGCCTCCTGCAAGACAACAAACACATTGCTCAGAAACATTGGCCTCATCGGCGTTGGGGTGCTAAGGCTGGGAGGGACATTTCAGCAAACCTTGCTGGAGCGGGCTGCTGGTTCTGGGCCCTCTCAAGTTCTAGCTTGCGAGCTATCAATCATGGAGGAGCTCAGGAAAAGGGCACAGCATTTGTCAGCAGCAGGATGCAGCAGTTGTTTTTCAGTACTTCCATTGTGTTCCATGTGCGGAGTGGTTGGCTGAAAGGTGGCCTTGAGTGACTACGGTTCTGGCTTTAGGCTTTTCCATGCAAAGGGAGAGGTTGGCGTGTGCTCGGGACTCGCCGGGACAACCTGTGCGGAGGAGGTGACAGGAATCACTGTGCCAGCCAAGTCTGCGAACTTGGCTTTCGCTTGGGCGAGCCGACCGTGTCCCCAAAGCGATCTTGCCTCGCTTGGTCTCGCCTCAGCGGCCTTGCTGCCTTTGCGCTTCGTGGTCCTTGATGGTTTGACCGATGCGGCGAATGTTGGGACCATTGTGACGCTTAGTTGCAACAATGGAACCTTTGGCCAAGATTGGCCAAGTGGCTTGACATTTCATGACTTGCAGCTGCAGGAGGAGCAAGCCCGGTCAGGTAACTATGTATACGTTCCCCATCTGTCAGGTGAGGGTTGTTAGATTTTATGTTAGCTCGTGCCCTCCTCCTCCTCCTGCTCCTCCTCGTCCTTCTCGTCCTCCGCATCGTCCTCAACCGCGAGCCTCGGCTGGTAGTGTTCCCCGCCGGACCTCAACCAGCACACAACCACAAACACAATCACAAACGCACAGTCACAAACACACTTCAAGCACAGTCACAAACACACAGTCACAAACACGACCACAACCATAAACGCACGGCCACAACGCAAACCACAAACACAACCCCAAACACAACCACAAACACAGCCACAAACACAATTACAAACACACAGCCACACACAAGCACAAGCACATCCACAAACACACAGCCACAGACACACAAACACCACAAACACACAACCACAAACACACCCACAAAGACACATGTACAGCACACAACCACAACACACAACCACAGCATGCAACCACAACACACAACCACAATCGAGGACCCACAAACAAGGTCGATAGCCACAAATCCCACGACCATGGCAACGTGCTCCTCACCATGGCATGAAGACAGGTGGTTGACATGTCATGGTGGGGATCACTCGAAGTAGAGTATTTAATGACTGTAAACAGGTTTGTTCCTTTGATTCTGTCAAGCATTGGCTCTTGCAGAAGTGGAGGAAGCCCTCTCCACTCAGGAGGGTTGCTGCGGCATTCGGTGCTACAGCGATTCTGCTTTCAACAGACTGCTGTGATGCTCTTTCTCCTCGCGCCGTCCGAGCTGCTCTGCCAACATTGCGGCCTTCGGTACCTAGTAAATTGATATGTTTCTTGCCGCCCCAAAAAATCACGGCCCGGCCTGAAATCTTGCTTCGCTGCGGAAGGACATTTTAGAGCCGCAAAGCAAGGGCAGATCGGACCTCCACAGCACAACTTGAGGTCTCGCTGGGCCATGTTTTCCACATTCCACTCCTCCAGGGCAATCTTGCGACTGGGCGCAATTGGGGGCAGAAATAGGACAAGGACTTGGACCAGGGGTCGATTTTGGAATGTTATATAGTGTTTTTTTTCAGCCACTCACTTCGGTAATTCAAACAAGCGCTTGACCGATAGATTGCCGTGTAGATTATTCATATGGTTTTCACTGAGGGGAATGATTGTCCTGTGGACACTCAGAGCCGCATAGCTCCAGCTAGGTGGCGATGCTTGATGAGCTGAAGCAGGCCAAGGTCATGACCATGGCCGCCATCGTGCAGGATGCCAAATTTCTCGACGAGGTGTTTGTTGGGATGAACGGGCCCCCCTTCACACACACCAACAGACTACATCCAACTACACACCATTGATCGCATCCATTGAGTGAATGTTGCAACCTGATTGAGGCAACACTGCAAGAGCAAAGGAGGTCATGTAAGCATGGCAACATGTGACTTGCTACTCAAGCAATCTAAACAAAACGCTCCCCATCAAAGTAAATAAGCACTGTATAGTGCAATTGACACTATAGTACAATTAAATTCCGCGGCTCATCTGGAAACTGACCAGAGAGCGCAGAGCATTCTGAATATAATAGGACAGTGTTTGTATCAGCTACGCTGCCTGCAACTCTTCAACTCACCCTCGGATGTCAAATGTTGGGCTGTTCGCCTTTATCGCATCATTCCCCAAAAGACTGACTGTACCACTTGTTTCATTTCCGCCATCATTTTCCAAAACAATGTGGTCACACTAGTGATTCTTAATAGCGCCGGTGCTGTTCCGGGGCGCGCTCATTTGTCATGGTATCTCTACCATGCCATGCACTCGAGCTCTTTGACTCTAAATGCCGGGATAATGTCTTGGACCAAACTCGTAGGGCTTCAAAACAGTGGGGTATGCACGCATGTGAACCTTGGGGCAAGTCTTTGGCTTTGGCACCATGGTGGAGATTGATATTCCAGGGATTTCGTAATTGTGAACTCAGTCTTTTGAACGCACGATATCAGCAGGTGCCCATTTTGCCTCAGCGCTGGGCATTGGTTCTGGGCTCCGAGCACTATGGTGTGAGCGCCGCTGTCCGTGCAGTTTGTGACCTTCCTTTGAAGGCGGAGAGGGGAGCAGAATGACTGGAAGGTAGTTGGCTGACTCAAATCCAGTTGTTCTTTGTAAAGTTTCTCTTCGTACTCCGTTGTCATTTTTGCGGCCGGCACGCCAAGCCGCTACCAAAATATGAGCGCGACTCAAAGGTCCTTTGCAAAGGACTCACTCCTCACGCAGCTGCCACGGCTGCAGATGTGATGTGACTATTGTTGCAATACAGATCCAAGATCAGAATTAAACTTAATTCTAATATATTCTAATAGCTTCTTGTTACTACTAGTAAGGCACTTGTTACTAGTAGCGATGCACTATGATGCACTTGTTCCTAGTAGCGAACATTGTTTCTAATTAAAGATCAGAATTCTGAAATGTCCTTTGTTTGTGTCTCCTTTGACGCAAGCGAGCGGAGCATCGGCCGAGTGCAGGTGCGCATGGCTGATGGGGTTGACTCTTTGAATGTCGGCACCTGAAGTGTTGAGTCACATGCGAAGCCCTGTTATTCTTCAGAAACTGCATGGCTGCATCCCGGGCTGGAACCAAGCCTGTTCCCAAGTAAACGAAACTCCTGCAATTTGCAAGTCATGAAAGGCGAATGTATGATGCAGTGCCAGAATTGTGAATTGTGCTCCTTGCACTAAAGCCTCCACTTCACTGTCTCCTTCGCTCGTCAACACCAAGGTTGTCACCTCGGCCGGCGTGTTGATCCATGGCTGTGTTGAAAGGGAGCATTCCGACTCCGACTTCATGTTGCACAAGCCGGGTGAAAAAAGACGGCAGATGGCAAACCTTTTTCACCTTTCAAGGATTTGTATTCTAAGTTTGCTTCAAGGAACTTGCCTGGCTTCCCTATCGAATGTGCAGGATGACCAGAGCGTTGCTGCCAAACTAGCAGCGCGGTATGCTGCGGTTGGGTTACCCAGTGAAGTTGAGGACTTGAGAGTCCATGAGAGATGATTTTGCACAAAGAGTTTGGACATTGAGACAGTATCTGGACCACACCCAATGATCTTGCCACAAAGTTTCAATGCTTTCACAAGCTGCGAAGTTTGCGTTTTGCACGAGAGTTTCTCATCTATGCACCACACGCACATATATATATATATATACACTGTATATTCAAAAATTGTATATATATATATTATACTATATACTACTTATCATGTCATGCATATGTCTAGTGTCACCGCCGGTTTCAAGACGTTCGGGCCGGTTACGGGGTGCCCTACTTTTGTTGCGTGGCCAGATGTCAAGTGGCTTCACAAGCACAATGAAGACATTTGTTGACCAATGTCGAACACAATTGAACAACAGGCTGCTTCCGGTCAACACCAACCGAGAAACGCATTTGGGAGGCGGCCTCCCTTGCCCAGAGGCATAATGACATGGAGGACGGGGATAGCAATGCTGATTCATTCACGTGATGTTTGGTGCTGGGGTTGCTGCGTTTATTGCTATGAGATGAGGCAATTTTCACTTCCTCACCTTTGAGTCTGGGACTTAGTGACTTAGTGCCTTGTGCATTGGAGGGGTCCCAAGAAGTGATTTGAGATACTGTAGACTTTTCGACGAAAGGGCATTGGGAAAGCGGCATTAGGATGCATAGGAAGATTTGGCAAAACATGAGCATCCAGGTTGTACCAGGTTACTGAGCAACTGTTTCGCAGGTCATTTCACTTTCACATGGCAAGCAATGTGTAAGAATTCATACAGATGAGACGCATTTGCAACAAAGTCAGCTTGAGATTCACAGTGCAAAGAGCCGCAGGCTACCGTTTTGCAGAATGGGTGCAAGGCAAAGTTGCTTGCTTATTTTAATGTTGTGAGGGCTTGAAGCTCACTTACGTTGAGACAGTGAGACAACAAGCAACATCGTGATTGAGGACAAACGCTGCAATTCCTCCCTAGGGGCTCGGTATGACAAGGATTGCAGTAGATTCAGGTGAGAGACAACGAAGGCAACCAAAGATCCAGAGATTGAACACACTTCAATGACCAATGACCAAGCTTTGGCCTGCAGACGGGACCCCGCAGCATGGCAGCTCAGGGGCGATGGATCTTATGGTTTCACCAGCCTCTGCAGGCTAAGTCTTTGTTTGGTATCAAGTCCTGGGAATGCCCATTTTGCCACGACATCAGCGTACTTGTGGAATGATTCTCAATGCTATTAGGTTGGAGGCCGTCACTTCTAGGTTGGAGGCCATCGCGATGTTTTCCCTGACCTCATGATCCATTAGGGCGCCACATGAGCAAAACTGCGTTCCTGCTGAGGACACCAGAGGTGAGAAAATCACCCAGGCCAGATTCCCGTGGGCAAAATAGACAGTGAAATGCTATGGTAGATAATGTTCTGAACGCATATTGATTCTGGCAAAGCGCTGAGCAATGACATTGTACCATATTGTACCTGGAGAATGGGAGAAGAAAAGGAAGAGATGGAGAGAGAAAGCATGTTGATTCAACCTTTCGTATTCCAAGATCACGGAGCTTGCCCCAGATACACGCATCCATGTTCGATGTCAGAATGGTTTGAGGTTATGGAATCGTTGTCAGTGTCACTTCCCCCTGGAGTCCGTGTAATACGCGGTGCAACCAGTTAGAGGTTACATGTCCATTTGGATGTTCACGCCGTTCAGGGTGAAGCCACTGGGCCGCGAGCATCCAGGAGCCGCTGATGTTGCGACTTAGGATTCTAAACCTTGAAGGACCGCATGGAACCTAATAGCACTAGCCTCCAATCTAAGACCTAAGAGCGATGGAGGCACATCCTCCAACCTACTTAGATGTTAAACCATGAAGGCCAGTTCTTAGTTGACATAGCCATAGCCACTAAGAACACACACACACTGCGACACGCAGGAATGCATACGCTCACAATAACATGCAAATGTATATATATATATGATATGTATCATTTGCACAGGTGCAACGTGGCATGTATATATATATATATGATCTAAAATATTTGCTACATAATACAATTGCAGCGCAGCAGGTAAAAAGCAAGGGTCCACCAGTTGGGTTGTTACATGTTGTTACAAGGTGCATTCATTTTTGATTTAGTTGTGCTGAAATATGCTGAACTCATTGAGTTTCGGTGTTCTTGTCACAACGTCGGCGCGCATTATTACTATACGATATATATATATAATTGCGTTTACACTTGCATAGCCAGCTCATCAATTGGTTCTGCCTTTTTGGCAGGGCCATGTCATGCCAAGTCTCTATGCGATCAGCTAGTTATATGATAATTACTAAACTGTATCAAGCCAGATTGTCATGACCGCAAAGCAACAGGGGCAGGTTTTTGGTGAAGCGGCTTTCTAGGCTATCGACAACTTTTACTGCGAAGGCAATTTACCTATATATCACTACGAACCCAGACATACATACATACCTATAGTTTCAAGGTATGTATGTTTCCGCAGACATACATACATACCTATCATTTTCCAGGTAT